AGTCCCGATCCCGATTTACACATGGGAAATGGTTTCCTGCAAGAGCTGTGTTTGACTCGGGTAGCCAGCACACATTTATGACAACCTCTCTAAACAAAAGGATAGGTAAAAACCTAGATACATTCAATGTTCAAATTACTGGGTTAAGCTGCTCAACCATTGTGAAATCTGCTGGATCTCTCAAGTGCCACATCAGATCCATCTACAGTTCTGAAAAATATTCTACGAATGCAGTAATTGTGGAAAAGATTGCACCACCATTGCCCAACATCCATATGCCACATCATGTCATCATGAACTTATAATAGTAGACCCTCATATCGATCTAATCTGAAAAGTTACAAAAAGTCGATACCTGGGTGTGCAATCTCTAATCCGACAGTATTTTCATAAAAAGCGCCTCCTCCCCCAAAACAAAATAGTAGACCCTTATATCGATTTATAAGGGACTTATGTCGGGTGTTCAGTTTGAGGGTATAGTCTAGAAATTTAATTAATGGCCAGTTTTTTTTGTCTAAATATAAGGGGGGTTCTCCTGCTTAAGAGTACAAACTGAGAACCGGGCTGGTCCGAAACCTGCCAATTGCAATCCTAATACCAGCGTGATGTACTGCATTAAGTTTATTAATGATCCGGAAACGCGCAGAACTGTAGATAAAACAACCATAGTCCAGTTTTGAGCATATTAATGAGCGGTACAGTTTTAGCAAGGTGATCCTATCCGAACCCCAGGAGATACCACTAAAATATCTCAATATGGTTAGTTTTTTGGTTGCAGCCGTTTTTTAAGTTAGAAATATGAGTTTTCCATGTCAGTCTTCAGTCAGATACCATATCCGAGAATCTGTGACTGTTTGTGTAAGGGATCAGGGAGTTGCCCAAGTAAATGTCAGGAGAGAGAGGAGTATTTTGCTTTCTACTGAAATGGAGGCACTTTTTTTTTCAGTGGAAAGGGACCAATTTTTTTACTCCATTTAAGGCATCCTGTAATTTTTGCTGAATAGTGGTAATGTTGTTAGAGCGGCATACGATGGACAGATCATCTGCGAACAATAGAGATTTGACACCTCTAGGCAAGTTAAGTCCCAAGTCATTTATTGCTATGCAGAACAACAATGTTGGGCTGAGGGCACAGCCTTGTGGGACACCACTGATCTGATTATGCTCCTTAGAAGTTTCGCAGCCTATTCTTACTCTAAAATGGCGATTTGAAAGAAATTGTTTGATGTAATTGAATATGTTCCCTATTATTCCAACTGATGGCAGCCTTTTAAAGATTAAATCATGCTGTGTGCTGTCAAAAGCTTTCTTCATATCAAAGAAAACATGTTGTCCACTGATGAAAGCCTATTGGGTTTCTGTCTCCAGATGTTCCATTGTGCATCGTCGAAACCCAGACTGAAATGGTTGCATTAAATTATTTTTCTCTATAATCCACATCAATCTTTTATTTACCATCCGTTCCATTATTTTGCTTAAGCAGCTTGTGAGGAATACAGGACAATAGCTATCTGGGAGCCACTTGTCTTTGTCCGTTCTTAGGAATAGGAATAACCAAAGAATTGCCCCAGAAAATTGGAAAGTATCCAGTGGACCATACATGGTTGTAGTATTTTAAGAACCAGTTAAGTGAAAGATTTTTAATCATATCATAATGGATATTGTCAGGACCAGGTGTTGTACCCTTGACAGTATTTAGGACATGGTTTAATTCCTACGTTGAGAAACGAAGATTATACATTACTATATAATCATTTATCGTATCTGTAGATTCTGCTTCATCGGCGTAGCCATTATTTCTTTCTGAGTTATAGATTCTGTCAAAAAAATCTGCGAATTAGTCCGAAATTTGTAACCGATTGTCAGATAACTGTCCGTTTATTGTTACAGTGTAGGTTGAGGATTTTTGATGAGTTATGGAAACTTCCAAACTTCAGCTGAAGTTCTAGAAGCATTAATGGAACTTACAAAAAATTTTCCAAGACTCGGTTTTATAATGGTTGAATAGCTTTTTGCATATGGCATGCATTCTTTTGTATTCAATTAGATTTTCTGATGTCACTGATTTCTGAAATTCTTATATGCCCTACGACGTTCTTTTATCATCATTAAACCACGGAACAAACAGTCTCTTCGAATGACCCGATGTTATAGGTATCGATGTTTTAGCTGCTTGCACGATTGTATTAGTAATGACTTCACAACCATTGTCTATATCTACTTCGGATGAAGAGGTTTGAGGTGGTGAGGCCAAGGAAGCGAATATTGAATCTGCTGTGTTTAGTACCCATCTAGGATTACTGTGTGTGGGGTTCGTATTTGTGAATTTTATAAGTATAGGAAAGTGGTCTCCATAGTATAAATCATGCAAAACAGTATAGTCTATAACGATATAAAGGGCGGAATTACAGAAAGAAAGGTCAAGTGCTGAATTAGTGGCATAGCTAAAGCTGAGAAATGTTGGTTTCTCAGTATTTAGTAGGAGAAGATTAGAAATATCTAAGAAATGTTCTATTATCCTGTAACGAAAAATAAAATACAAAAAAAAAATTAGTTTGTAAAATAATTTAAAGTTTTTATAAATAATATGTTTTTTTATTAACTCGAAGAGAGTTTAATATATAATTAAGTATTAGTTAATTAAGTATTTAGTATTAGTTTTAATAATAAGCAATTGTTTATAATAAGTCTAGTTTTAAGTATTAATTGTAGATATTATTTTTAAGTCAGTGTAACAGAAAACAGCTGATTGGGAGAAAAAAAAAAGACAGTCGAGTTGAGAGAGAGAGATGGCGGCACCTCACAAGGGTTGAGGCACACTAAGGACGAGTGCCGCTTGAAGTTGGTGAATGAACATTTTCACAACTTGAGGAGATAAATTGTGGAGACATTGAAGACGCTTGTTCGAATAAGTTGCCGCTTCTTCAGATAACCCAATGTGTCGATTGGACAGAGTTCAACCAGTGGGATATTGTAAATATGTACATATAAGTTTTTTTTCCTATCTATTTTTATTTCCAAATGTTTGTAATTGGTATATTGTATAGTTGTAAGTTAATGTTTAGTCCTATAATAATTTTATAATCTTTTCTTTGATAATTAAAGTTAATTTTATTTTCTTTGTTTTCTTATAAATATAATTTCTTGTTCATAATTTATATTTCCTTTAACAGTTATTTAAATTAATAGAAATAAGTAAATCCATCATTAGTATTAATAATAGCCAGTTTTATTTTCTTATTTTTGTTCTATTTGTTTTCATGTTTTATGAATATATTACATTTTTTTTTTTTTAAGGTTTTGTAAGGCATTGTAAACCTTATTCGAGGGATTAGGGAAAGTCATAACTAACCAATTAAGAAGGTTCGATAGGTTAACCAATTAGGAAGGTTAATTAACATATGTTTTTAAACCCAAAGGTTCCGACTTCGTAGCTCACTCCGCGTCCTAATCTTTTTTTTTTTTTAATTAAATTTATTTATTTATTTTTATTTTTTTTTTATGGTGTTCGCTATTTTCCAAATTAAATAAATTAAATAGTGTGGTGCTCGTTAGAAAACTATTAATATTTAATTGACCCTTCATTAATTTTATTTATTATTATTATTTTTTTTTTTTGCAAACCCTTGATTTTTCGAAATTAAAGACCGTAACAATCCTTCCACGCATGTTAATATCTCAGGATCCCCATAGGAGATTGTGGCCATTAAGGACCCCAATAAAAAGAACAGGACGAGGAAGTTGGTTGTAAATATCTAAGAGGTTTTGTGATTCTATTGAACGATCTTGTAGCAGGTATTCATAACAAATTGAAAAGCTTATACTGTGGTGGACTCTGACTGCAACAGATTGAAGATGTGAGTCAATTAAGATTGATTCAGAGTATACAGATTTATGTACAGCTATTAGAATTCCGTGGTGACTATGGTTTAGGTTCGGGCTAACCTTTCTAAATATTTAATGGAAAAGTTTTCTTTTACAGTTAAGTGTATCTCTTGAAGAGAAAGGCAAAACGGGTCAGTATCAGATATTAATATTTTTAAATCGTTAAAATGGGTTTTTAAACCATTGCAATTCCATTGAATTTAATGACATGATTAAGAATTGTAATTAAAGGAATATAACAATGCAATACATGTTATACTGAACTATTTTTGCTTGAATTATCTTTCTTACATTTTCTTTTTCTGTAACAGACCCCACCATAGTCGTCGTCTGAATTCGGTGGATTAACCTCGATGTCCTAGATGCTGCCTTCAAGTTGGCCTTTATTCAAAGGTTTCTGAGATAAAGATGCAAAGGATACGGAATGAGATATAGTTGTGGTGAGGGCGGAGGAGGGGGCAAGGAGGAAAAGGAAGAATAGAGGAACAAGAATGGGTCGAGGTGGACATTTTTGAGTTCTGAGAAAACTAAATTTCAGGTTCAGTACTATTCAGATAAAGCACTGTTTCACGGCCAACGGTTGTGCAGGGAGAAGATCAGGCCAGAATCATGCTCAACCGTGACGTTTTCTCCCTTAATTAATTATTTTAATTAAGCGTACCCACATTTTAGAGGCTGGGTGTGCCCCAGGAGGGTCTCCCTACCCCAGGGTCGCCCCACAGCCGATGAAACAGAATAAATAATTTTTCTGTCATGGGCTGGGATTCGAACCTGGGACCTCAAGCACTGAAAGTTCATTGTCCTACCAATGAGCTACCCCACTCCCTTATTAACTATAAGGCTGGCGTATATCGCTAATGGACACCTCAATAATTCAATTAATATTGAATGTATGCCAATGGAAGGAAGAAATATTGAAAATACACAACTTTATGCCTTTATCCAGCAAAAATTAAATTTTTCCCTCAACGTCACTTGTCACCTTTACCCACCTGATCCTTCAATTGATTATAGCATATTAACAATAATTGTTCAACATTAGAAAAGTAATCGATCACCATAACTATGATATGAGATAATCAGATAATATAAGTTGCTAATTTTGATATACCTACCACAATAAATGTTTTAAACCAAATTGCTAAACTACAGATCATATTTTTCTTCACCAATTCCAAAAATCTGTAGAAATATGCCCTTAGCTTTCCTTCTTCACATGTACATTTAACTGAAAAGATAGAAATAAAAATATATATGTAGATTTGTATTTCTACAATGTTTTCAGAAAATAACTTGGTTTACTAAAAATAAGAACAAAAAAAAAATAAATAAAAATAGTATGTTTCTTAATTACCTTGAAGAAAAGGTGATCCCGATGCAGCTGGTATTTCTCCACCTTCTTCTGCCTCAACTCTTAAAAAAGGAAAAAAGTAAATTAATGATTGACCAATAATATAATAATCAATAATTGATCATTAAAGATGTGAAATCAATTATAGTCCATGATACAGACATCTTTTTATTAAATTATTAACACCCGCCTGAAACTTCATAAATAGATTCATCTCATCGTAACCTAAAACTCATTTACGAAAATTCTCGGAACTGGGGTGTTTTCAATCTGGAGATTGGCAAACTTTATCTATTTCCATTTGATGTTAGTAAGATTTGTACCATGTAATATATTTTATTCATTCTTGATCTGTACTAACTTGTTCATCTATCATACATATAACTCCAGATGTCTAAAAATATCCATACAAGGAGTATCTAGTTCATCTCTATTTTCATTATGAATTATTGGAGGAAATTGGTCGACTGTTCTACATATCATGGGTGATAAATATTCAGGAAGCAGTCATTTTAAAAAAAAAAAAAATATTTATGCCAACGTTTCCACCCAAACATGTGGGTCATCTTCAGAACTGAAAATTTTTAAAAATACAATCAGAGATATAATGGTAAATAATAAACTATAGTGATTGATGGTACATGAATCTTAACTAATATTGCAATACACATATTAAAAATGAAATATGTAAATAGTTATACAAACTAAAAATTAAAAACTAATGTACATAATCCATTTATACAAATTTGTAATATTTTCTCTTACTAACCGTGGTTTGAGCCCTGAGGGTGTTCAAGTACTGACACATCTGGTAGGTAAGTGAAAAGGTCAGGGGGAGAGGATTTCCCAGTTGTCCTTTTTCAGATAGCAAAAGATATGTAAACATAGTCAGAGGGGAAGGGAGGTAACATTTCTGTTTATAGAATGTAAATAATTTGCTGACTAAATATTTCAGATGTGTACACTATTTGAGTTGTTTCTTATTGTTACAGAAATGTGACTATTGGCTAGAAATGAAATGAAATTAAGCAAGAGGTAATAAATATAACATAGTTTGATTAAAAGTATACAATGGTTAGACAAATAATATCTATAATAAAGACAATTGTAATGGATTGAAATGATACGTTGGACAATACATTATACAATATTTTAAGAATAACAATATTGATCATATTAGAAGTTTGTATTATATTAGGATTACATAGTTTTTGTAGTCTAAGTATAAACATATCTGTACCTGTTTATAGTATATATTTATATTGAGAATGGACATTATATATGTATGTTGTAACGTTCCCTTTGTCAACAAAAATCAAAACAAACGAGTTTCCTTATTCAATATATTATTTATTTTAACACATATAACATAAATCTTTAGGATGGGTTCTGACAACTGAACACTCATTCACATTTAATAAATACGATGTACACTAATTACTAAATACATATAAAGAAACGAGATACATACATTAAGAAATTATACATATTGTTTTCAAAAACCTTGATTGTCCCAGTCTAAACTTTGTGGCTGTTTCTATTTTCTCAAGTTGCTGGCTAGTACCTTCTCTCTTGACAGCTTGTCACATCTTCTCTCTTGGCCGCTAGCACCTTCCCTCTTGGCGGCCCGTCGCAGTCTCTCCTGGCGGCCGGTCGCAGTCTCTGTCCCATGAGCTTGCTTCCCCCACTTCTTCCCTGTAGTTCATGTTCTTGCCACTTTCGCGCCACTATTTATATACCATGTAATGTTGACATTACAATATGTATAATAATAATAATAATAAGGCTTAGCGAACCCGAAGGTTCGATGCCGCTACCACCAATCGATGCCCACATTCTTCCATCCACCGGGCTCCGTCTAATCCCAACCCCACCAAATCAGCCTTAACGCAATCTTACCACCTTCGCTTTGGTCTACACCCCGGAGGCTTGCCAGTCGGTACGGTTATTTTTTTAGGAATTCTTTCGTTACTGAGCCCAGCGATTTTACATGCCCATTTTATCGTCTCAACTTAATCACCTCAATTATATTAATCGGATACCGTCCACGTGATTCAGCGATGTGTAACCGCCTAAATTCTCCGGTTGACTCGTCCTTTTTCGGTCGGAATATTCTGCACAATACTTTATTTTCAAAAACTTTAAGACGTTCTTCCCTTAATGTAAGCGGCCATGTTTCGCTTTACCAGCTTCCAACAACGTTGTTGTATTTAGTTTTATTGTTTTCATGTCTTCGCTTAAAAGTACCAAATCATCAGCATACCCAAGCACGGATATTGTTCCACTCAGGTTCAAACCTTTTTCGGTACGTATCACCTCTCTAATGGCATGTTCTAATGCCAAATTAAATAGCACAGGTGAAAGAGAATCACCTTGTTTTAATCCCGAATGAAAATCAAATTTCTCGGATAAATAATAACCGATTCTAACTTTATTGAGTGTTTCAGTCAAGCCCACTTAACTAGATTCACTAATTTTTGGGGATCCCCTGTTCGATTAGAATATTATATAGTTTCTGGTGGTCAATAGAATCGTAAGCCTTTTTGAAATCAATATACAGCTGGTACACAACACCATTGTATTCTAATTTTTTCTTTAATATTTGTCGTAATGAAAATATTTGATCAATAGTCGAACGGTTCCTCCTAAATCCACATTGGTAGTCTCCGATAATTTCCTCATTTGTAGTCCATTGTAGTCGATTAGTTAAGATTAACGTGAATATTTTATAACATACCGGGAGGAGCAAAATTCCTCGATAGTTATTACAATCTCTCCTCGGACTGTTTTTGTGAATCGGAATAAGAATGGATTCTTTCCATTCTTCAGGCAATTTCTCATTCTCCTATATCTTTTTAACTAAAAAATGTATTTTATGAACTCCAGCTTCTCTGCATGCCTTAATTAGTTCACTAGGAATATCATCGGTCCCCGTTGCTTTATAAGATTTTAGTTTTCCAATATCTATTTCAACTTCCTTTTTACTTGGTTCTTCTATTAACGGTTCGGCACTCTGGTACTCTGAAAGGGGTCTTTAAAATTACGTGATTTGTTTATACCTTTGTACATGTCTCTTACATTGTTTTCTATATCTATTATTTTATCATTAAGATACTCCCTCTTTTTATTTTTGAACAATTTAGTAGTTTCATTCTTTAAGGCCCCCAAATATTCAAAATTGTTTTCACTAGGATTATTCAGAGTTTTTATTTGATCTGCTTTTCTTTTTTCGCACATGCTTAAGCAATCTTCATCAAATCACGGTTTGTTATTTTTATTTTCCTTTTTTCCAAGGGACAAGTTACCGAATTCTTTAATATTATCCCTGATCTCTACCCATACCTTATCTATATCATTGCAACCGTCTTCAGAAGGTTCTAAAGCTTCAAACTTATTCTTAACTTCAAGCTCAAATTGGGTTCTAATTGATGGATTTTTAATTTTTCCAAATTAAAATTCTCGGAATCACAACTGTTTTCTTTACTCTTTTTAATATTAAGTTCTTTTCGAAGTTTCGTGATTACTAATTCATGATCTGACCCACATTCTGCCCCGCGATAAGACCTTACCTTAATTATACTAGTTTGCCATCTATTTTGTATTTAGACGTGATCGATTTGATTTTGCTATGAATCCAGTGATGTCCAAGTATATTTGTGAATATCCTTATGTTTAAACGTTGTACTTTTAATTAACAGATTTTTCGAGATGGCAAAATTTATTAGTCGAATTTCATTATCATTACTATATTCTTGCAAACTTTCTTTACTGATCGTCGGAAAATAAACTTCTTCCCTTCCCACCTTTGGATTAGTATCCCCTAAAATTATTTTCATGTAGCTTCGAGGTAGTTTATCATATACCCCACTCCAGTTTATCATAAAATTCGCATTTAGCTTCATCTACAGTCTTCAGTCGGACAGTGTATGTTTATCAACGCAATTTTAAGCCAACGCCCCTGGAATATGGCCACCGAAATTCTATCGCTAAAGAATTGTACATCTCTCAAAGCGGATAGAAATCTATCCTTAGTGTACTTACCTTCCCTTATAGATCCCTCCCCTGGCCAACGAACCTCTTGCAATGCCACGATATCTAAATTGTACCCATTAACCTCATTTGCGCCCGATTTCAACCCACCTGCGGTATTCAAACTCCTAGGATGCTAACGCAAAGGTGGGAAGGGAAGAAGTTTATTTTCCAACGATCGGTAAAGAAAGTTTGCATGAATATATTAATGGAATTCGACTAATAAATTTTGCCATCTCAAAAAATCTGGTAATCAAAAGTACGACGTTTAAACATAAGGGTATTCACAAATATACTTGGACATTTTTTAGAATCACCAATATCTTTCATTGAAATTGGTGAACCCAGGTCCGTAATCTCCCCTTTTAGTTTTAACATTTTTTCTTCACCATTTATTTTAGACGTTGAAACAGTTTCAGATGAGTTACTAAATGAAATAAATAGATTTACAGAATGACATGGATTACAGACTAGAGGAGAGAATATGATGATGAATATTTAATTGTATAGATTAAATCAATATAAAAAATAAATTGGTGTATAAACCAATGAATGTTTAAACAAATAAAAATACCCACAATGAATTATAAATAAATATAGAGGCCTTCATTATCAATCTTGTCGGAATCAAAATATTTTGTGGAGCTTAATTATTTGTTGTAATCAAATAAATAATTAAAATATACCGTCATAAATATAAATGAGAAAAATCCTCCATAGGATAACCAGAGCGATCCAAGATTCGAGTGTATACACGTGGAGAAGAAAGACCAATAAAGAACTGCTTACAGAAACTGGTCAATCCATATCCTATGATATGAAGGCACGGAGATAAAGATAACGGGTTGTAATGTTTGTAATATTTTTAAAATAAGTATTCATGAACTATAATTAAATAAAAATAAAAAAAAGTTTGGACTTAGAGATCTCAGGGACTAATTAAAATAATTGTCACTAGTGTTGCCTCTCACTAACCTGAAAACAGGTCTGAGGGCTGGTTATTAGTTAAAATAGAAGCCTGGTCCCTAGGGCA